AACCCCCAAATACTCTGACTGAGGCAAAGGCAAAAAGAAAATCATTCTGTGGGCATTTTGCAGGCATTAAATAAAGAGCACGACAACAAGCATGCAGAGGTAAAAGGGCTGAGCAGGAGGGAGGAGGAGTTGGCGAAGAAGGTACTTAACGTGAAATTACTTTTCAAAGCCTTATTTAGAAATATACAATTCATTACCTCATGTGAGAAAGGAGGAAAATGTTATGAACGGCCAGATGTCCCAGGGCCACGTCACAGAGCGATGAGTGACCATCCTTGGTCTAGAGAAGCAGGATCAGGACTAAAGCCCATGAGATACAGGGAGTGTGTGCAGCAAAGCACTGCTCTGAGTCACACTGTGGGCCTGGTGACCGCACTCTGATTTATGTCACTCACCTTGACAGTGACTGTCAAGCCCCAGATTTTAACACACTAAATGAAAAGGACGTCTGAAAGACTGCGTTCTTGGGCTGTCTCTCTGCATCGTTTTGATATGACCAGACTCACAATGTTGTAGCAGGAAAGAAATGGCACTCGGGGTTTTTGTTGTTTTTTTTCCTCCTCGGGTGAACTGTGTTAAAACGATGCCCAACTTTCAAAGGGACACATATTTACAGTAAAAGAGAAACAACGAAGGTTCAAATGGCCAGCTACTGCCCGTCGCCAGGTGAACTGCCCAGCCCAGGCCAACCACACTGGGAGCAGTGGCGGCTGAGGTTCCTCTCCCTACACCCGGACGGCTCCTCGGGAAGCACTGGCCTTGCCTGGTGAGCTTCTCCAGGGCCACTTCACCTCTTTCCCAGGAGGAACGCTCAGCTAACCAAACCAAAACAGCAGCAGTGCTGGACCTGACAGCCAACCAGAACTCAGAACATGAGAGCACAGAGTTAGTAACCACTCCTTACAGTTTGCTATCCAAGGGGGGAAAAGCCACAGAATTTCGTGATATTTATATTTTCCAAGAGAAAGTACAGGATCATTAACAGGCAGTCCCTCAGAGAATCTCTAGCCACAGAACTCAGCATTTCCTGGGAATGTTTTCAGTGCCTGCCTTTTCTATGATTACACCAGTATTACAAGAATGCTACCTGTGACCTACAAAGCATAAATATTTTGCAGATTGGAAACATTCCGGACATATTATCACTTTCATCACAAAATCCTAATCCACACACACGCTCGCCTGTCAGATCTGTGCAGCCTCTGAAAAGGTATGGCATTATCCTGCAGAATGAATGAACTAGGAAATCAGAAAACTCATTGACATCCATTTTGAAATAACAAATTTTCTCATGTGCCAAAGTCAAAGTCAATTTAACATTTTACAGACCAAAAACTTCTACATCCTCTTAAGAAGATGTAGAATGTAAGGACGTGGAGTTTACAGACATGACACCTCTAATTAGCAAGAGCAAACATCAATTTTCTGCACTCTACTGAGAAGCAGAAGCATCCACAGCACAGAGCCACAACTGACTCTTTTATATCCAGCGCTCTGGATAGAAAGAAAATGACACTTTAAAAGAAAAGAGATTGAGAGGCATAACAAAGGGGTGCTGAGTAAGAACTCTGTTCTTAGGAGTTATTCCAAAAGTAGTGGTTTCAACTTCTAAGGAAGTAAATATTCAACAGATTAATTGGGGCAGGAGGGAGGGAGCAAGAACAGGCAAAAGTGTAAGGATACAGGATGAGATACGAGTACAGGTGTGGTTAAGCTAGCTTTCAAAGAAATCACTACTTCACTCTTTTCCTATTCATAGGTGAAATAAATTAATTTATCATGTACAGTTTAAAAGGTTTAAGGAAATTCATAAAGGGTATGTGCAGGAAAAAAAGCTCATTTTAAAATATTGTTTGGGCACTACTAATTTAGGAATTGTGGTCAACTAGATATCTGCAGGGCCCTTCTGCTATACTATAATTAGATTCTGAATACATTATTTTTAGAAATACCTCTTAATGCATTGGTTAAGCTCCAAGCAGAGAAACAAACTCCAGGAGGGTATGGCAGGAACTGTGCACTGAAGCCTGAGCAAAGAAGCAAGCAGGAGTTGCCGAGGAGGCAGCTGTGAACACCAGCCATAAGCAGTGTGGGGAAAGCCCCACCTGACTCCAGGATCCTCTACGGGAACAAAAGTGGCCCTGGGTCTGCAGCATCCTCCCGGCTCCTGGTACAATCACGGACAAATTTCAAAAAGACCTCAAGATTCCAAGATACAATTATCTAACAAATATTTGCACATAATCAAAACTGCACACTAGTTAACAAGCTATAAGCACTGATTTAGACCACCGAGGATTTCAGATACCAGCATTATCAAATACAGAATATAAAACAACTTTCTTTGGTGTTGTTTAAAGATTAGAAAAATGAAGTAAATAAAATGAACACGCAAAGAGACCATAAAAAATAGGCAAACAGATATGATGCAGAAATAGAGCTTTTAGAAATGAAAAAATATAATAATTGAAGTTAAAAACTCAAGGGATGGGTGAAATAAAAGATTCAACACAGCTGAAGAGAAAATTACTGAATTGGAAGCTAAATCTTAAGAAAGAAATTACCCAGAATGAAACAAAGAAAGACAAGGAAGAAAATATCAAATACAAATTCAAAGAGAATAAAAAGTGAAGTTCTAACACCTATTTAATCAAAACCAGGAGACAACAGAGATGATGAAAGGGAGACAGTATTCAAAGTATTATTGGTGAGATATTATCAGAGCTAATGAATAACGTAAATCCACACATACATGAAACACAGCAAACATAAACAGGATAAAAAACAGAAATTTGCACATGGACACTGTAGTGAAACTGCAGAACCCCAATGACAAATAATGATTTCAAAATAAGCCAAATCACCTAACAAAAGATAGCAAATGAAAGGCTGCCTTTAGATTTCCTAAGAGCAAAAATGAAAGCCATAGGGCAGTGCAACAGGGTGTCCACAATACCGGGAGGAAAAAACTGTTAACTAAGAACCCTTGACTGCAAAATGAAGATATTTTCACATAAATCAAATGTGAAAAATGTTACCACCAAGACACACAAAGGGAAAAAGTAAACGAAGAAGGCAAGTGTCACCAGAAGAAAGGAATAAGATACAAGAAGAGAAGCAAAATATCATAAATATACAAGTAAAGTTAAACAGATACCATCCATAAACAATAACAGAAACACAGAACAGAAGTGAAACACTGAAAAGAACACATAAGCACAGGAGTAGACAGTCTATACCAGGTGTCCTATGAATTTTGTATTATTCTCAAAAAGGATTAAAATACCTTAACTACTGATTGACTTTAAAACATATGTGTACACTTTCAGGACAATCATTAGAAGAACCAAAACAGAATGCATAATTTCCAAACCAGCAGACAAAAAAGGAAAAAGAAAAAAAAACTGAATGAGGACACAAATCAACAAAAACCTCAATCCAAATGAAAAAAATGACATAAGCAATAAAAAATGGATCAAACACACAGAGTTAAAAGAGAGATGTTAGAGTATACTTCAAAAAACAAAATCAAAAAAATAAAACAGAACCATCACTGCACTAGCCATGAAGAGTAGACTGAACTAGCCATGAAGAGAAGACTGAAAAAATTCTCTACACTAAAGTAATGAACTCCTGTGTTCCAAAGATACTAAATAGAAAGACGCTCAGTGTCAGTGTTCATCAGGGAAATACAAATTAGGACCGCAATAATATGCCGTTTTATATCTGCTAGACATGCAGCAGAATACCAAAGTCGGAAGGAAATGGAGCAACAACGAACTGTAATAGATTTTCATGACAGAATTTTCTTTAACATTAAAAATTAATTTACTACCACTGCATGCAAAAAGTGAATTTTAACAACATAACTGAGTGAAAAATGCAAGTTGCAGAATACTTTGTACAACGTACCATTCTTACCAAGCTTAAAAACAAACAAATCAACGTACTGTTTAGATATATACATAAACATAGTAATTATGTGCCAGAATAGAAATTAACTAACCAACACTAAGAATACTGTTTAGTTCGGCAGATTTTTACTTAAAAAAAAAATCCTCACTTGAGGATATGCTCATTGATTTTAGAGAGAGAGGAATAGAAAGAGCAAGAAACAGGCAGGCAGAAAGACAGACAGACATGTTGTTGATTGCCTCCTATATGCATCCTGACTGAGGATCAAACCTGCAACCTAGGGTTGTGCTCTGACCAGGGATCACACACACAACCTTTTGGTGCACAGGACGATGCTCCAACAACCGAGCCACCTGGCCAGGGCTTGTTTTTACTTTTGGCACAAGACTTTCTCAATGAAGGAAGGAGTTTACTGGTCTATGTTCTAGACTGTGCTCTTCATCTTATCCCAGACTGACACCGCGGAACACTGGCCAAGACTATTCCACTCCAGAGAAGAGGGCAGAACTGGGGACTGTTATCTTCCAGCATAAAGAGCTCCAATCAAAAGCAATTCCAGATTAAAAGAAAAGGCCGGGTCCCAAATGACTCTCCAAAGTCTCCTTATAACCTTTCCTAATAATTTTTTCTATAAAATTAAATTATTAGTAACAGTTTTGGTTAAGATGAAAAATGGCTTACACTAAGGTAGAAATTTTCCTTAATTCAGGCAGCGTTTCTCCTTTTATATGTCAAGTTTAAATATTAAACTTTTAAATGTCCTGGTTTATGTGACTTCAGATCCAACAGCACCTTTTTCTGTCATTTCTGTGACTCAGGAGACATTATTTCCAGTGCCCTTTGTTTTATGAATTTCGACCACCCTGGCCCAGGTTGTTTTCCGCCTCCTATGAGGAAGCGGCTTCTTCCATCCTTTTTTCCTCCAAACCATTGGCTGATTTTTGACCTGGGGCATCTAAAAGGCTGGGAAGATCCCTCCATCCATCAGAGCCTCACCGAAATCTCAAAGCAAAGCAGGAGCTATTCTGAGGAACTTCAGATCCATGAGATGTTGGGTAATGGATAAAGCCATGAGTTTGACTTACATGTTGTCTTTCACATGCCCTTCTTCACTTCTTACTTCACAGTTCTTGAAGTTCCGAGAATCCACAACTCCCTCAGTCACTGAAGCTTTTCCTGGAACAATAAAGGCAGGAAATGAGAAAGGAGACACCAACTGGAAGGAACCAAAGGGTCTAATGGGGAAATAATCTCTCTTCTAGAATTAATCTTGACATTTAAAAGAAAAGGCCCGTAGAATTAAGGAAAATCTCTACCTTAGTCTAAGCCATTGTTCATCTTTAACCACAACTATTCACAGTAATTTAATGTTTGTACAGGAAACCATATTATTTACAAAGACTTTTCACATGTATTTTCTCACTTGAGTCATAAGATGTTGAGAATAGGCAAGTATTATTTTAAAATGCAGCAGCCGAACTTCTCGAAGGTTAAAGAGTTTTCCCACAACCATTCAGACACCAAGGATCAAAGGATTAGAACCTCGATGACTCCTTGTTCTAAAACCTTCTACAGCACAAGGTGATATAATGGGTTCAACTTGAAAAGCAGTCCTATTATTTCTTCTGGCACTAGATTTACTCTCTTAGCCAATAGATATAGAAATGGCTTTGCCTGGCTGAATGACACAGACACCATGATAAGATTAAATGTTTATTTACCAGAGACAGCCCAAAGGGGTAGAAAATCGACACCAAGACAGTTAAGAAACACGTGTATCTTTTTCACATACTCTCCTTTTCTCTTTAAGCCACCATTATTGCTAGACTTTTTTATAAACTCCAAAATAACTTCAAGCTTATTGAAAAGCTGTATAATAACAACAGTACAAAGAATACCATATATTTTTTACCCAAATTCACCTACTATTAACAGTTAACCAATATACATAATCATTTACTCTGTCTATAGACACACACATTCATTCAATTTTTTTTTTCTAAGCCATGTAAAGATCAAGTTCCATACATCATGGCTCTTTACATCTAAATACTTCTGAATTTATTTCTTTAGAATACGAGCCACAATGCTGTTATCAATCTTAGACTTAATACTGATAAAATATTTCAATCTACCAGCATTTTCAATTAACCCAATGCCCATTAGAGCATTTCTTTTCCTCCAAGTCAGAATCCAGTTCAGGGTCAGGTATTGCATTTAATTGCCATCAGCCTGAAACACACAGCTTTCGTTTGTCTTTTATTACATTGACACTTTAGAAAAATATCTTCCACTCCCTTTTTTATATGAATAAAACATTTCCTTTTGACTTGTACTAACATCTCCTCGTGACTCAATTCAGGTTATGCACTATCAGCCAAAAAACTACGAGGTGATGTTTTCTTCTCAGGGATCCCATCTGAAAGCATACACAGTCCACCTGAGCCTCCTTGGCAATGTTAATTTTGATCACCCAGCCAAGGTTTTGCCTAATTTCTCCAATGGAAATTATTATTTTGTCCTTTGCAACCAATAAGTAATCAATGGTGAGATACTTTAACACCTTGAAGATATCTTGTCCCTCAGCAAACTTCCCCCTAGATTTAGCATCTGTTGGTGTCCCTTGCCTAATCTCAGCTTGACTGCAATGGCGGCCACACGCTGACTGTTCCAACTCCAGCATTCCTTCCACAGTCCTTACTTAGCATTGTACATTATTTGTCTATTTATCTGTTTATGATCAATATGGATACATGAAATCCTGCTTTCTCAATGGTGTAGAATTTATCCCTGGACTTAAATATCTTGGTGCTCAAGCTGTCTCAGCTTCAGCCCATGGCCCCCTTTAGACTGGCTCCTCTATCCTTGTAATGCATCCCACCATTTTTTTATTATTTTTATTTCCTTACTTTTTTACATTAAAAAGAAAGTTCTGGGCTCATCTTGTACCGACCCCATCAATTCTCTGGATGCAGTAATTTATCCAAAAAGCCCTGGTTCCTTTCATTGGAGAATGTTGTTAAGAGACCAAGATCTAGCACAACAAGGCTTTAAAGGCATTGTGTGTTTGCGTTGGTTACTTTTCATTTTAAATGAGTCACATTTTCCTGCTTCTTCACATGCGTCTTTTCTATTATAAGGTAAGCAATGAGAAGGTATTCAGTTTGATTCCAACGGCAGGTGAATTACTGGCAGATCCTCTTAATCCTGTCAGGCTTGATTAAGACAGGTCTAGTTCAGTTTTGCCTGCAGTTCTAGCCCATGGCCCTACTCTAAGGTACAGCCCTTATTGTTAAGATGTGGTTTTTCTGGTGTCTCAGTAGAATGGCTAAAGTGCTCAGCAAGGTCTCCCCACCCTCACTAACCAGAACTCTCCATTTCTCTCAGCACTGCAAGGCCTCTGGTATGGCCATTCTCTTCCAAACCTGGTAGCAGCTGCTCTCCTCTAGGTCTCACCTCATGCACATACACATTCCAGCTTCTTGGTTCCCCTAGCATAGCTCCCTCCTCCCCAGCACCCAGCCATACACATTTCAGCCTCTTGAGTAGCACTGAACCTGAGATCCTCATGCTCCCCCGGACTCCCCTCCCAGGGGGAGGCAGGAAAAGTGCTCGGGCAGAACACCAGGGCAAGCGTGGGTCTTACCCCAGGGGATTCTCCTCTCTCTAGGACCACACTCCTGGCTGCCTGTTGTCCTATGACAAGTAACAACTGCCTCATATGGTAGCCCTTTGTCCAGGTTACTACAGGAGGGCAAGTCCAGCACCACATTCCTCTTTTCCTCTATGCCTTCCACGTCAGTGACGCTTGAGGAACATGGGGCTGCTCTGTTGAAGGGGTTAAGAATCAAACACTTTGGGCATATAGTTAATGTTCTTTATTTAAACATTTCAAGGAAACTGCCTAACAATCTGTTTCTTAGAAATGTATGTGTTTACTTATATTGCAGCGCTGTGGCAAGAGAAATAGAGAAATGCTCTCCAGTCATCAGGCAATTCCAAACAAAATAACAGGAAAATATCTCCATTCCTTCCACAAAGCTGAGACTCACTTCAGATAGCCAGCTGGCTATCACTCCAACACATTACATTTTTTTCTATTACTCTTCCTCCAAATGCTATAACAAAACACTACAGTCTATCCAAATAAATGAAAGTTAGTTTCTAGTCTTCATTTTTCTTGTTTATGTGCATGGACTTAATGTGGGGGCGGAAAGAACACTCCTTTTCATATAAATCATTTTCTGATGTGTTTCCATTTCTACTTCTAACCACTGGTGAGAAAATAATTAGGGGAAAAAACAGTCAAAAAGTAAACTCGCAACCCCAGACACAAAGTTAATCAAGAGGAAATTGGCTAACGAGAACATACTGTGAGTAAAGATGTAATTTTGTAATCACAAGAAAATGGAGAATAGTAGATCTTTCCCTGCAAAGGCAGCAGATTAGCGCACCCAGCGCACATGCACAAGCAGCATTCCAAACAGTGTGCGAGGCAGAAGTGTGGGACGCCCTCCTTCGACTCCTTGAGCAGATTTTCTCCACGTGAGAAATTTTGTCCACATTGCAGCCAATCTAATTCATTTTCTCAAAAGGGAATCAATGCATGGCTAAGGGCCTACCTTTCTTTGGTTTTACTTCAAGTTCCCTAGAACGTAAAGACCAGCGTCTGATGGAAACACAGTGTCTATTTGTCCCTTGGCCCTCGTCACTGTCCAGGCACTCCCTATCCTCACGTGTCTCAGAGCCTCCTCGTGGATCCTGCTGAATTCTTTTCCCTAACGTCAGCACAACTGTATAAATTCTTCTGTGGCTCCCACTCCCCGGGAATACAGCCAGGGCCCCTGGGCACGATCTGCTCCCTGCTGACATTTCCATTTCATCTCCCTGCCGTTTTCTGCCCCATCACTAGTAAAAACCTCGAAGTCATTTGTCTTCAGGGAACACCCTTTCTTCTCTTTCTTCTCTTGACTAATTCACTGAGGCTTGCCAACCCCTGGCAACTATTTCATAAACACCATTCAAAGCTGGGTTAGTGTCCCAACCTTCATATTCTCACAACACCTGTGCTCTCCTTTATACTAATCATTTAGTGAGCACTTAGGATGCACTAAGCACTACGGGCACTTAACACACATTATCTCACTGACTGCTCCTACGAACTCTGTACAGTCGGTGCTGTTATCAGCCTATTCTACAGATGGAAAAGGGGCAGAGAGGCTCAGCGGCTTCCCAGTGTCACACAGCTGGGGAGTGAAGGAACCGAAGAGCTTACAGCCTTCCCATCAGCGCTACCAAACATAGTTAATGGAAGAATTAACAGTATAACTGGTGTTTCCAGGTAAAGGCCCAAAGTGGCAACAAATGGTGACCTCATGGCAACATTAAAAGGGTAAAATTACATAATGTGAAAAATTTGTCACAATTCTTCAGAAGAGGATATCATAAAGATACTCATAAACTAATATCAATTATGAAACTCATAATAAAGACCAAAATATTTCACCCAGACAGGGTGCCCAGCAATTTCTAAGAATCCAAGAATATCCACATGGCTCAAGCAAAAAATAACTGTTTAAAAGCAGTGGGAGAAGTGGAGAAGAATGTTCTTGTTAGGGACCAAAAAAAAAAAAAAAATGTGCTATGTCAAAGATCAAAAGAACCTCTCAGAGGCAAGAATCTGAAATATTTATAGAATAAAATCAATTCGATTCTCAAAAAGTCCATATATTGCACAATCAATAGGATCAATCCTCTATTAGGGGTAACATGTTACTTCCTACACAAATTGAGTACGTGAGGATTAGTGAACAGGCAAAAATCCTATTGTACTCCATCTGGGCCCTATATGTCATTGACCCAATATACTCATTTCTGGCTCCAGATTATGGAGTTGGGAGGCTGAAGGAGGAGGCACGAAAAGGAATGTCAGTGACCAGCTGCCTCACAAATGCCACACTGATAGCTCATGAAGAGTAAGTCAGAGAGGATGACTATTTCTCTATAGCATATCACCTCACAGAGGTAACCTTTCTTCACATTGCAGACCTGGACTATGAAGGAGGGCATACAAACTTGTGTCATAATAAATATCACCCAGGGTCAAAGCGTTCAATGCTGGGCTTTACATTTCTGGGGAAATTGGGGGGCAGTGCAGTCAGGGGAAGGAAAAGGAT